ATATTTGCACTGTTGGCCACATTTCAGGCCACAAAATGGAAGTTAGGCCTAACAGTCGGCATAACATGTAGTATTATTTATGTCATATTCTGTATAATCTCATCATTACTTGAGATAAAACTAGAAAAATTGGTGTAATTGACGATATGATCACCAGTTGCTAATCCATTGGTAACCCATTTCCAGTACCCAAGAAATCACATATTATTTTGTTCGCATTCAAATTTTTAAATTTTATTTTTATACTAATTTTAAAATGAATTTATATAAAATATATTAATATTTTGTAAATTTATATTAAAAACGATTGGAATTACAATTTGATTATAATAATCAGTTTCCTGAAGACTTTCGATTCAATTTTTAATTACATTCTCTAACTTATATAAAAATTTTCAGTTTTAATATCAATAAATATATTAAACATTTCATATATAAGAATAAATTTACCATATTATATATAAAACAATCTTTTTATACAAAAAACCTAACAAATGATTACAACTATATTTCATGTTATTTTGTAAACATCTCTTTCAAGAGTAAGAAATACATTAAAAATTTCTGAATTGACAAAAAAGTAATAAAAAACAGTTAAATAACAAACAAATTAACTAAAATCTATTAAAGTATTTACAAAAGAAAATTTGTTCATTAAATAAAAGCCAATTAAACCCAGAATTTAGCGCACATTAGATGGAAGACAATTAGTGTCCGTTTTCTTCAATGAAAGTGATTTATTAACCACTGAATCAAAATCTGTGCGAATGTTTCGATAAGAAAATGAATGAATAATCCGGTTATACAATGAGCTAAAACACTGGATTTAAATCAACTAAACGCACAAAATTGCGATTAATTATTGCTGTGAACACCGCTTCCCGTCGACAACAACTCTCTGGCGTTCTCTTCCACACAATCTCTGAAATTCTTCAACAGATAGTCTTTGAACACATCTATTAAAGTCAAAACAAGTTTCCAAATAAGTATATAAATCGCAATTCAATTGATTAGTGCAATAAATTATACCGAAAGTAATTTCATAGTTGTCGGAAATCTTGTAATTATCACAAATAGACTTCTCTATACCAAAGGCCAGCCATAATAATGTCTGTACGAAATCGTTGGACACGCTATCACTTCGGTCCTCGTTTTCACGCAAAACATTAAAACTATTCTCTAATCTTTCCCAAAAACTTTGCACTCTATATAGAAATGCAAATCATTTAAAAAGTTGTTAATTAAAACGTTATAAAATTACAGGAGAGAGAGAGAGAGAGAGAGAGAGAGAGCTGCAAACCTGAGATCACATAAATGAAGAACAGCTGCCAAATGTGTTGTGTTTGGCTTTTGTGTTGAATTTTTAAGCGCCTGAAACAACTCATTGATTGTAAATGAGTTACATATCACAGGATCTATGAAAAAAGTGGTAAAATTTAGAAAATATAGACAAAAAGCGGTTATATTTACACTATTTGTAAATAACATACATTGGTTTAGATTAAATAACTCGATAATATCATCGACTGACTTGATATCTTTGCGAGTATTTAACTGTAAAAATTAATCGCAAATTAAAAATTGCTTTTATTTTTTAAAATATAAGACAAACCGAAATTTGCTCGAGTTTTTCATTTACGGTATCGGTTATGGTCTCTAAAAACACTTGTTTCTTATCTAAAAATAAAATACATTTAATATTCAATGTATTAAACCATTAAATCATACAATTTGTCAGCAATTGTACAGCATTTTTAAATTCATAAAATATTTTGATTACTCTTCGTATGGTTGACGCCATTCGTCGTCCCGTTTGAGTGATAATTATTATTAATTTTAAGACAACTTTTCGCTGGCAATTGATTAGCGATTTTGTCGACGAGTTTCAAAAACTTTAAACAAATAGGACTTCGAAATACACTA